TATTAATTATAGGGGTGTAGTGTGGATAACGCTAAATCTGCTACAGCCTTCGCCATCTCTCGCTGTCTTGTACTGAAACAGCTATTGGTGAACCATCTGAACAAAACAGTGTTATCTTTGTCGACTCTCAGGCTGCTATTCAGACCATTTCTGAATATAATTTATACCTATCAACTTTGTTCTGGAAGAGAGGTAGTCCTCTGGTGGATCCCTGGCCATTGTGGCATTTACAGAAATGAACGGGCTGACACGTTGGCTAGAAAGACTTCAGCATTGCATCCATCTTCTCACCCAGTTCCCCTTAGAAATGCAAGGCGGCTTCTTAAGAGCAAATTCAGGCACAGAACAATATCTGCTCTTAGGGACTTAGCTGATGGAAAATCCTGGGCTAGCCTTCTTGATGACCAGCAGCGCTCACCTTTCTCTCCTTTCCAGAGCCGAGGGAGTTGCTTGCCTTAGAATAATAACTGGACATGACTACTTGCAGGCCCATTTATTTAAAATTAACCTAGTCAATTCACCTCTTTGTGTGCTCTGTAACACTTCGCATATGACTGGGGAGCATCTATTTGATTGCCCCTCTCTTCTTCACATTCGTTCCTGTGATGACTTTTGTGCCCTCTCATCTTCTGGAGCTACTTCAGTGTTGTATTGGACTAAGACGCCTTCTGTCTGAGAAGACTATGGTGGACGTAATTTTAAAAAAAATATATATCAATTATAAAATTAGATGATTGATTGTAATAGTGTGTAAATTCTAAAATGACATAAAGCAGGATTCATACTCAAAATATTTTTTTAAGGAAGATTAAGCATGTGTTTTGTTTATCTCCAGTGTTCAAAATAAAAGAAATATATAACCCTAAATAACTGTGGTTCTAATGATTAGACTTATATGAATTAAGTGCCAATATTAATGGTTCAATGGGGTGAACTCAAATAAGCTAATTAATGCTAACTATTAATTACATTACAATATTAACCACAAAACATGCTTTTTCTGAGTAAACCTACCTTTTTTCGATTATAAAAATATGGTTGTGGTAGTTTAGTCATGAAAGCAGTAAAAAGTTTGAGCCACATCTAAAATTTCACATTTTGCTGCATCTCATTAGTTATTAAACGAATCAAAACATTTTTGAAATATCGTATATCTCTGAGTATAAGTCAAGCCCCCATTTTCATAAAAGTTTCTATTGTGTTATATTTTTTGAAATACTCTTGAATAAATTCTTACCCTTCCTCATTTTTATTTTTCAATAAATGTAATTAAAAAAGTATCAAATAAGAAAAAGAAACTATGTAAAGAAAATATGATGGAAAAAATGCAAAATTAATAGTATAAAACAATATTTTGAAAATGGTAAATTGATTAAGAGTTATTCATCTCTATCTTATTGTTAATTATGCATCAATATTACATCAATGAATGTCTGACTTCATTAAAGGTGCAAAGTCGACCTCCTGATTTTTGTAAAATTTTAGACGTTTAAAAAGTTTACTTATACACCTATTTATACATAAATTTAGTTTATCCAATTTTTTATTTTTTCCCCCAATGCCCACCTGTGTTAACATCCGTCAATTCAGGCATATACAGGGCAATTTTGTTGGCCTCTCTTTCAGGGGCACCAGAATAGGTGGGCCAACGTCGCTGCCACAGTGAGGACAGATAGTACAGAAAAGGAAAGAACATCCAAGCCCTGCCCGGGATTCGAACCCAGAACCTTTCTGATGCAAGGACACTTCCCTGTCCGCTACACAGACTGGTCGGCGTTTATCCGAAGATAATTCCAAGTAAAAAATAATTATTACCTTAATCAATGAGGGTTGAAAAATTTTTACTGTTAGCAATTTTTTATATATACAGATAGAGAAAATATTTTACTCTGATTAAAAGACTCTCCAACATTATTTGAAAAATTGAATCAAATTGATATGTTTAATGTCATATATTTATTGTAAATTGGTTACATATGCATACAAAAATAAATATTAATTCAAATAACAAAGATATATAAAGAATGGGAACAAGATATTTAAGATTGTCAAAAGGAGCTCACTTAACAGTAAAAATCAACTAGACTTAATAACAAGACTATTAACAGTAACTAGACTTGTTAACAGTAAAAATTACTGTTAATTAAAAAATTAGTCTAGTGAATTTTTAATAAATAGTATTTTTTAAACAAAAACAATACTCCAAACAATTAGCTTTCATTTTTTTAAAATTTACAATAAACAGCATTACGTACTGATATCCTATTTATGAACTAGAGTTAAATGCTGGTAACTCTATCCAGCATTGCCATTTTACAAAAGGCAAAATATTGTTAAAAATAAACATTTTCAAACTATTTAAAAATACAGAGTATATTTAAATAAAATACATTATTTTTCAATTATTATTTGTAACAATCATGCATAAAAAAATGGTAATTTTAATTTAATGGTAACTTATTCCTTTCAAATTTTGTAATATTTCCTTGCTCAGAAAAATGTTCACAATGTTTCAAAAAAATAAACATTTTCAATAGATGGCTGATGCAGGGTGCATAGCCAGATTTTTCAACAAAAAATAAGCACCTTTTAAGTACTTTTTAAGCACTCAAAAAATATTTTTAAACACTTTCCAAAAAAAAAAAAACAATTAGGATCTGTGCAGTAATAAAAAATTTTTTTCTTCTATCATTTGAAGTCCTTAATTTATAAACAAAATCAATAAAATTCAAAAATTTTACATAATTATGATAAAGTAACTAGTTTCTGATAAATATTGCAGAAAAATGTGAAAAATCATGAATTTTTTGCAATTTAGAACAACAATCTACATTGCAAAGAAAAAATCTTTTTAAAATATAGAAAATTAAGTTATTGTATTATACTTTTTACAAACCCGTAATTTAAAAAAAAGCACCTTTAAGGGCTTTAAAAAACGTAAATCAAAAATAAGCACTTTTTAAAAACGCTTCGCAGCCTGTGATGGATAGAAAAGCAAACAAGCTTTTTTTTTATCAAGTTTTCAACTACAAAATTATAATTTATAAGTTGCATATTCCATTCTTATCTACATTTCTAATTCTCAGGATAACACCTTTATAATGAGATCAATAAAATAAGACCAAAAATAAAAAAATATCACAAACTTAAGAACATCAATATACTCAATACTTTATAAAAATATTTCAGAGATTAAATGTTACTAAAATCTAGTTTTGTGTTAAAAAATAATAAACATAAAATTAAAATGTTATACGAAATAGTCACTACTAAGGATGTCTTTATTTCATAATAGTTTTTCACAACTATAGGTTTCAAGAGGAACTCTCAAAACTCAATTTTGGCCTTGATTTAGTAAACATAAATCTTTGAACACGATTGATTAGACTCTTCAACACCTTTTAGGAACCAATAATAGATGTGCATATTTAATGATCACAAATTTATTATTATTAATTTCTCTACATGCTAAAAGTATATAAAGAATAAATTCTATGTACTAATAGCAACCAGAACATAAGGTACAAAGTTGAAACTCACAGAGCAGTTGTTCCATTTTTTTCGTATATTTTTTGATAACTAGACCCACACTGTATACACATGAAATAATTACTTGCTGGATGGAATATATTAATTCAATATATAATACAAAAATTATATTAATTCAACAAAATATACATGATAGAAATCTTTTAAAATTCACTTTTTGTTTAAAAATTTATATCATTCATATTCATTTAATATGTATTTAATTGTATATCATTTTAGGTATTAATTTAAAAATTAGAAAATCATTTCCTGACAAGCATTATCAACAAAATATTTAGTGACAACTATTGGAATAATAAATTTTTCAAAAATAATTAAATTATAAAAAAGTGAAAAAATATTTATATTTTCTATATAAATTATTTCAGGTTACTTGTTCCTAAAAAATACTGCCGTAAAACCTAATTAATTTGGTGGCCATTTTAGTAGGCAATATAAACAGGTAGTCCCGTATTTGTTGTCATTTATTATATTAGGTACGCACAAGATACCATAAACATAATTAAATACTTAAGAGTTTTCTAGCTTATGTTTACTATACTACAAAAACCAGACTATTAAAAATTTAAAGTGGTTAAGAACAAAATCTATTCAAACTGCTTAGTATAATTGTAAACTGTATTCAGACTGTTATCAAACAAATTTTTTAGAAAATTAAAATGGTAAGTAAGAGCAGAAATTCCATTAAGAGTTAAGAATTCAAAAATATTTTTTTGCCTTTTCTTCTACTTTTATCATTCTGTTATTTATCGTAAATCTTTCTTTTATAATTTTCTCTATCTCTATGAAATTTTTATAAATATCAAATTTCATAAACTTTTATTTAATCAATGTTCACGTGTTATTTTACAAAAAAAAGTTTTAATATAGAAATTTGCTGTTTTTGACCATTAAGTTCCAGATCTTACTTAACCAGAATTTTCTATCATTCCTGATTTACAGAGTCTTGAGCTCTTTGTAAATTTAAGCTCATACTATTGCTTTTGAAGGCCTAAACCAGAAAGAAGAGCAGAAAACGATTTAAGTAACAAAAAAAATTTAGCATGTATACGTACATAAGCTGAACTACTCTAAAAAAAAAAAAACACTTTGGAGAAACAATTAACTGAAAAAATTAAAATATGTTCTAATATATTAAATATGTTCAAATAAAGAACTGTTCTTAAAGATTTTTTTTAATTAGTAATTTTTTATAAACAATTTTCTTAAAATAACCATAAAGCATTATTTATTCTTAGAGTTTCTCTATTCTTAAAAAAACAATATCAGGTTTCAATATATTTTTAATAATTGAGCATTTAACAATGTATGTTATTTTACTGCCACAAAAGAAATAATGATTTAAAAACATAACATATCTGACCCTCTTTTGCTTTGTATTATTCGTCAAATATCATTTTATTATAAGGATAAACTTTAAATAAATAATCCTAAAAAACTGAAGCAGGAGGTTAGCACTTGATTAAAAATTTTATTTATTTAAAAAAATACAAATTGGAAATAACAATCAACATGTTTCAAGTGTTCAAAAACAGAAGCCTATTTTCAAGACTTGTCAGACGGGAATGAGAAACAAAAATGATTTAAAATATAAAATGCAGAGTTGCCAATGAAAAAATAAAGGTGAGAAACAGAACTAGGAAAACCACAGTAGCACAGACAGAAAAAAAGGCAACACACAACAAGAAAAACCACAATGGATGAGAGGGGCCAATCAGGGTAAAATACACTTCCGTGCGCTATGGAGAGACGGCATGGAACGAAGGTTAACAGGGAAATTAACAGGTCATCAAGATGAGCTGATGTGACTAAGGTGGAAATAGTTTTGGCATTGTTGAAATTGAATTTATGCCCAAGATTCCAACAATGTGCTGCAGAGGATGATTTCTCATATTCTTGATAACGGACATATCTACCGTGTTCCTTGAGTATAAATTTTAAAGAATGTCTAATTTGTCTGATCTATCCAAGGTCACACAGACAAGGAATGTGGTAAACGCCCCAGGGATTTTAAAAACTTATATGATTATTATGAGACTCAAATTTAATTTTGTAACTTTAAAACCAAAAAGGGAGAAACAATGGTAAAGTAACAAGTTCTCTATAAGGATTAGAAGAGGGACAGTTGGGTCAAGTGAGTTTAGCAAGAGCTGAATCAACTATAGAAGGAAAGAAATAAACTGCAGAAGGTTAGCAAACGAGCTGAGAAAGTTAAGTTTGGGGTTTCAAGACAAAGAATTGGAGCAAAGGTTTAGTACACAGAAAACGAAAGTATGAAATACAGAAATTTTCTGACATTTAGGATGATTAGAATAAACATAAGGAGGCAAAAAGATGGCAAAATGTTTACGATAAACAGAGGTGGAAAATGATCAGGGTATATAGTAACAAGAACATCTAAAAAAGGTTAAGTAAAATTAATTTCAGTGTCTAAATTAAATTGAATGTTGGAGTCAACCAAGTTTACAACAGAAAATAACTCTTCGAAGGAAATTATATTTTTAACCAAGTAGGATATTTAATCAAATAAGTCATATTTTAAGAACAAATTATCAGAATTTATATAGGATGTTATAAAATTTAAAGGATGTTATATAAAATTTATTAAATCACAAATATGAGGAACATACTAAATGGAATGGTGCTATCTGTAAAAAAAAAAAGCTTTTTAATAACATAACAAAATAGTTAAATATAATAGTTGTTATATTTAACCAACTAAATATTTTTAAGAATAAAATACACATAAATAAAGAAATGACGACTAATAACAAATTATACGTATAATTAATCAAATATATAATTAATGAAATAATATACCTATTTAAAAAAATGAAACTATTAAAAAAAAGGACAATAAAAATAAAATAAACTTTTTAATAATACTATCAAATAAAAGAACCATAAAACAACAATACAATAAATACCAACCTGGAAGTGTGTTAGCTTCCCCCAATATTTAAAGTGATAGCAAACAAACAATAAAGGTTTACCATTACCTATAAGTGTTACGGCATGATTTATCAGGTCTAATATATTCGTTTAAAATTATTTACATATAGAAGCCCTCCAGCATGGTAGCAAACATTGCAGATAATCTTCTCTCTAAGTTTTCTTATTATTTTTAAAAAGCAAATTGCAAAGAAGGGAATTGCATATACATTCCTTTTTAAAACATCTTTAAACTTGTTTTGAATAAAAAGTTTTAAAAAAAAAAGCTGAACTGAATGAACAAGGTATAGAAACTTTTTTTCTTCTGTTACTTGATTATTGACTTGACTATATAGAGATTTATACACAGTATAAAATTAAATTTAAACAACAAGGTTTTTATGTATAATTTTAAGGAAATTATATTTGCAAATTTCACTATATGTATGCTAGATTAAGATGAACTTTTACTATAATAATAACCTCTAACTTACTGGGTCGCGCACAAAATTGAATTTATGAAGACATTGATGCAGATTCGCTCCTAAGTTTTGCTACTGGGATGTGATCAAAATCCTTCGATGTAAAATTTATTAAATGAAAAATAAAGTAATTAAAGAAAAATCTTTTGTAAAAATAGAAGATGGCATGTATGCAATATTGATTAATCAATAAGAATAAAAAAAATTTTAAAATTATCACAAAATAAATCACATAAAGAAACTCAAAAGAAATGCATTTAAAGACATGCTGATATATATATCTTAAAAATGTAAGTCATGACTTAATTGAAACTACACAACAAAACTATGTAGATCTGATTACAATGACCATCAACTCACTATTACTTTAGTTATTCTTTCATATTAGTTTTATAAGACTTAAAATACAGAGAAAAAGAAGAAAAGTTTAACAGGTTTTGATAAATGCATATTTTTTCCCCATTCTAGGTTTGATTTCAATTTTATATTAATATGAAGTAATCTGCATTTTTTTTCTCTCTTTTCCTTTCTTAAAATTACTTTTATCAAGGCAACAGCACAGCTCACAATAATGAATGAAAATAACAATTTGATAACACATCATCAATACGCTTTTTATTCTGAATACAACTCAAAAAGCTTGTTTAAAAAAAATGAACAAAGCTTGAAACATGTGTATTAAGAAGGAAATAGCTCAAAACACATGTTTAAAAAATGGACAGAGTTCAAATTGCATGCTTAAGAAAATGGGCACAGCAAAAAAAAAATGAGCCTTTTCAATGTTAAACCCAAATTCAATAACTAAACAAGAAAATGCATGCTTATTTTTTAAACACTAAACATAATCATTATGAGGACAAAGTCCTGGACTTCGGGGTCAGAATGATTGGGTATATAACAGTTGTAAATTTTCAGGCCATTGCTTCAAAACACTAATCGATGAAATTGTGTTTTTTAACATCTAAATTTGTACAACATAAATCATTTAACACAATATCAGTCATTTAACACAATCTTGGTCATTTTAACACTATATTGGCCAAAAACCTGGTTATTTTTACAGTATGCCTATGTCATTAAAAAATTAATCAATAAGTTATTTGGTTATAAGTTTTAAACAATAACTTATTGTCAAATAAGTTATTTGGTATGGTGCATTGAAAATATTTACAGGTGGTCAATTTAGAAAGGGTTTTATATTTCTTGCTGCCAAATTTATTATAGTTTACTTTACAAACTGATTGATAATAGACATAAAAATATTTCAACATTTTTTAGAATGAGTGACAATTTAAAAGCTGCGATCACAGTGCATTCTAATAGGAAAAGAATTAGATTAAAATCTTAAAAATAAGCCATTTTAACAAGCAAGATATTAAAAATATGTATAATCAAAAAAGTGGGAAGGTGCTTTTTAATTAATTACCTTTTTCTTTACACTTAGTCATGTCACAAAATTAAAAAAATAATTTTTTGTGTGTGAGTACTCAACATACAACTGTCAAACCAGCAAACTAAAAACAAAATTTTTGTCTTATTCTACAGATATAAATAAAAATAAAAAAACCCAACTAAATGACCAGCATTTTGTGGTAATTACAAGGATAGATCAAATTGCAAAAGAAATAGAATTTAGTATTGATGATTTGGAGTATCTAGGTAATAGAAAATAAACGCTAATGAGAAAACATGAGATCTAGTTAAGGCAAATATTTAACATTATATCCTAATGTTTAACAAATAAAATGATTTAATAATATAAACTTTAAATATATCTTCTATAATTCAATTTTTTCAGAATCATGTTGAGGATCTTTCACATTTTGAGCAACTCGCTGTGATTTGATTTTTGATAAAATCTCATATGCTTGTTGAATTTCGATAAATTTCTCTTCTGCAATCTGTTTTTGCACTGGGTCCTGGTGCTTGTCAGGATGCCATGTTCGTGAGAGCTTTCGGTATTGTAAAGTGATTTCTTGTTGAGTAACAGTAGATTTAAGACCAAGTACCTAAGTTAAAAAACAAAAATATTTAACCTTGCAAAACAATTATTCAAATACATGTAACTAGTTCAAGAAAATTAATGCATTTTTTTAAACCAAATATACTGACTCCGACCGAATGCCATTGATTTAGGTTTACAGCAAATTTTTAAAATTACTCATAAATCATTCCCAAACTCAACACAACTACCACATCAGTCAATTTGAAAAATTTTAAGTTTTCCAAAAAGTAAGTAAAAGTTCTAAAGTTCTTGCCATAGGGATCTATAAAATGTGCATTATTAAATCCCTAATTCATAAAGTGTAAGAGTTTTACTTTTAATATAAATTTATCCAAAAAAGTAAGCTTTAATAAAACTTACTATTTTTTTTTTAGAAAAATGTACTTTTGTCATAAAGCAAGAAATGATTTTATAAAAAAATGCAAAATCTTTAAACATTTTAGGGTATGACTAGTTTTTAAAGCTGAAGATTTCATTCTGATGTATTTCAAGAAAAAAAAAAGTTTTTTTTTTTTGTGACAAAGGTTTAAATCTGTATCAAAACACTGAATTTATGTACAACACAAAAACATTTCATCTTATTTTAAAGGATAAACCAAACTATAACTGAAAAGATTTTTTGACTTAGTTTATACAGAATATAAAAATTTAAACTTTTATTTTTTTGAAACTTTACAAAGATGTCAATGTTTTTAAATTACATAGCACTACCATTGTTACCTGTTACAACTTTAAATCATATAAATAATATTTATACATTTACCACAATTTCTAAATTATGTTCTCTTCTTTATTCAAACTAGCCAAGCTTACTTCTTAGTTCAGTTTTTATTTTTAAAAAAATCCCTTCAAAAATATTGTTTTAACTTATCTGTTCTTTCAAAAACAAATTTGCTTTCACTTATTTAATTCATGCACTTAAGTATGCCAGCTTTTTGTAAGTTGATCAAAATTTTATGTTTATCTAACATTCACGGACCTTTTCTTCCATAAAATGAAACAGCACAATTACAGCAGTACTTTTATTCAAACTAATTGCAAATTGTTTATCTATATAAAGGTATCAAAATCCTATTTTGACATTCTGCATTCATAATATTCTGCAACAACAATATATGAGATTAAAATTATAGTGTTTCTTTTAATAGAATGTACAAGAAGTACAACTGAATGAAAAAAATTTAATTCAATTATTAGCTTGAGATTTTGTTATAAAAATAAAAGAAGTTTTTTTCAAACATCTTTTTCCCTCAAATGTTTCAGCAATTGTCTGCTTCTTTCCTCTGTCACATTATTCCGTCTTTTTATCAAGGCATCATTGTTGATGCCAGATGCCAATGACATCACACCTATGTGACACCATATGACATCACACTGATGACATCACACTTATGAAATACACCTACTTATCACTCAAGAGTTCAACAAAATAATGTTAATCATTGACCATTCAAAAATCTTGAAATCTCTTCTCTTTTAGCTCAAGGTATAAATCAAAATCAATAAAGTAATAATTACTTTCACAAAAAGGTATTTAATCATTAAAGCTAACACATCTCAAATAACTTACATAAAAGTATTTTCCTACCTCAGATAATCTTATGACACATTAATGATGGAATATTAGCACATTTTGTGGAAAGTAGTTTAAACATAAAATGATGTTTATAAAAAAAAAAGTTTCTAAAAACAAAAATTTATTGAAACTTTAATTTTTTTCAGATTTCTAATCTTTATTTCAGTTTTGTGGCAAAAATTGTTCTATTTCCTGGAATCCAAATAATTTTTAAGCTAATCTATCTCCTGAGTTTTTACAGTTTTTTTCGGAAGGGTATGAAGCCTGATAGTATGGTATACAATTTAAAAAATTTCCAGCGATACCTTCAATTTAAACTATGCAGGAAACTGGATCCAATATCTTATTAAATAGCATATTTAATACAAAAACTTATATTTCTTTAAAGATAATATGCTAAATATTCTTATCAGTACAAACTAATTCAATTCTGCACCTTATATTTCTATTAAATTATTTTTTTAACAATATGCCTTACCCTCAATGCATTTGTTTCTCCAGTAGGATCAAGTGCAGCAATAGTTATTCTCCATACTTCTCTCCAGCCTTGTTCATGTAAACATCTCCATATCTCTGTCATAACATATATAAACTCTTGACATATTGGACTTTTGAAGAAATGCTTTGCAGCATCCCTGCATTTCACTTGCTCTTGATCTTTGGTCACAGAACAATTGAAGTAAAACCAGGAACCCCATAATGACAAATAGATAAGTCCACAAATAGAAAGAAACCTTAGGCGTCGCCAAACAGCTTGCTTTGGTGGAGGAGTTCTTCGCCACCGTTTCGAAAATGTATTAAAATAAAAACATGACGCAAATGATGTTAAGCCAATAGGAAGATCAATTATAAAATAGACTGGAATTGTTAAGTAAGCTCCTTTAGTAGCAGCTAAAAGTTCTCCTTCATGACGTCCAACATTACCAACAAGGTATACACCTAAAAAAAATTAAATGCTTTGAACAATGTAAAGCTAAAAATAGAAGGATCTAAACAATGAAATATCAGACACATGATTCTTGGAGTAAGAAATTATTTGAAAACCTTTACAAACTCCGCCACTAATTGTAGTGCCATCATATTTTTTTATCTAACTTAAATCCATAAAATATCGGCATTTTTCTTTTAATGTGGCAGACAACTAAGATTAAGTGTCATTAAACTAGCTGTATAAACTGTAAATAAAAACATTAATCGAAACAAAACCATTAATCAAAATAAACACTTTTGGATGTAACACTAATATAATCAAAGTTAACTTCAGGAATGGATATGCAAATTATATTTCTTCTAATTTCCTGTTTATTACATTTTGTTAATTTCACATATATTCTAAAACATTAACAGACAATAACCAGAATGGAAAACAAATTTAACAACCCGGAGATGAATATTTCAATTTGCATAATTTTCAAATTACACATGTTAACTTACCAATTGAAACAGCTAATGGGACAGTTAATAGGATAACGTATTGATGCAAATATTCAGGAATTAATTCAAAAGGAATCGCGCCATACATTAAATGACCAAACGCATCAGAAACAATAAACTGACCGAAATTTCTAACGTAACTATTATTAGGTATTTGGGAAGCACGCATTTTTTCAGCCAATTGTTCCAAATACGACGGGTCATTATTGGCATCTCGAACATATTCAGGAATTCGCCATAAGTCTCTAAGCAATCCGGCACCAAAGTAACCACCGCAAAACATCCACCAAATTAACGCTTGAAAGTCTCTTCCTAAATAAAAATGATGGAGTCCAAAAACTCCCCCAACTAACCAAAGAAAATAAGTGACACACAAACTCTTTTGAGCCATATCGTCTGCAATAACGAATTTATTAATACTGCAGTTTTCAAATACCCGCCATCATCGAGAGAAAAAATCGTGTCAGCAGCTCAGTAAACATAACAAACGACACCTGTTAATACACGAAATGTTGCCATAGAGAAAAGATTCGTAAAGGAATTTATTGGCGATGAAAATGGGCTATAGATGGCGTGGAGCAGCTCTGGCAGCACTTCACCTGCTTGGAGAATAGTGTTATAGATAAAAAAGGAGCCCATAAGAGGAAGTAAAGGTCCCATCTTTCCGATGGCAATAAAACCCTATTTTCTGGTTTACCTTATTTTTGTGGTTTATCTTATTATAGGGGTTAAAAAGAAGTAATATTTTTATTACTTTTTTTATATTAAGTGTTTAGTTGTACTAGTTCTGAAATAGAACACAACAATATAATAATATTGATAGACGCTGATAGACTATAATGAATGTTCCTAGAATTTTTAGCTAAAACGTTGCATTTCATACGATGTATACCTTTTTAAACTATAAATTAATCTGAAATCTAGTGTACGATTTTTTTAAAACTTTAGTAGAATGTGATGCTTAAAACTATTTTATTTAATTTCAAATAATTTTTGAAAGTTTAGTTTCGAATTTGTAACACCGTGAGCTCTAAACTCGCAACCATCGAACAAGCTAGGGATAGAAAAATGACGTAATTTTGACGTCAAGCTTCTACTCCTAGGGAAAACCTGAAACCTCGCGCTTTCGAACTAATTTTGCTAACGGGCTACGATCTTCATTTTTCCTCCCATCTATCGGATGTCTTTCACCTAACAATTTGCTGGTGAAAGCGATTCGAACGTTCGAATAGGATGCGTCTAACGCTGGGATTAAATTAGATTTCCGATTTAAAGATAATTTTTACCCTGATATTTTATGATTATTTATATTATCATTTGCCTAGATATTTTATGAATGCATTTTAGACAAAAATTTTTCTCTCTCAAATCTATTATTTCAAATAATAAATCGATAGAGTAATTAGTTTCTTGCAGAACTTATAATAAAATCCATAATAATCTTTCACAACTTTAAATAAAACGTAAAAAAAAAATTTTTTTCCAAATTTTTGCGTATTCTTAGCCATAATATGTTTAGTATAATTATTGCCATGTTTTTATTAACTTTTATATTAACTACCTTTTAATATTTTCAAAATATTTAGAGAAAAAAATGCATCATAGTTTAAAGAAAAACTCGTTTTTTAGTAAAATTTTGCAATTTTTCTTTAAAAAAAATTGGTGAGTTATAACTGAGATTAGTACATAATAAATAAATAAGATTACTTTAACTAATTCGTATATAATGTAAATATGAATTATTATAAATTGTATACTTATTTTTCGTCCGCTGTACAATTTTGTATTTGATATTTGAAAGAGCGGAAGCTTTTGCAATATAGTCGTTTTTTGAAATTGATTAGTTGATTACTTTAGATGCATAATTAAGAAATATAATTTCATTTATTTTCACTTGTCTTCTGAGTTGGGTAGAATATAAGTGGATAATAAAAAGAATGGAATATGAGGAACGGAAACTTTTTCAATATAATCGTTTTTGAATTATTATAAAATTGCAGATAAATTTAGATGCATAATTAAGAAACTTTTTTATTGCTTCTTTATTTTTCCGTTCATCTTTGAAAATGAGAAAATATCCCCCTTTATTTTCTAAGACAAAAAGATATTTTTACTCTTAGATCAATAATACCAAAATACTTATATTCGACAATTTATTTTTTGAAAAATTATGTATTATTTTAGGAATGAAACTTGTTAAGATTATGATTAAAAATTTCTAAAATCACATTTTTAGAATTTTTTTGTTAGAAATAGCATTAAAAAAGTAATTGAATAAGAAAAGCGTTTTAATTAATTCTTAATCTTCTGTTAGATATTTGCCCTTTTTAAAATACTTACTCTTTAATAAAATGGTAAATAACAAATTTTAGGGTGAAAAAAAAACTTAAGCATAATTTTCTTTTCTGTTTTAAGATTCTCTAGTAAGTATCAGCTAAGTTATTCTAGAAATATTCGCTTACATTCATTTGTAATTATTAAACTAGCGATATTCGTTTTTTTTTTCAAATAATACTTTAGATTGTCTTAATGTATGCGATTAATTATACTTCAAAAAGCTTTTAATAAATTTATGCGACGTGTAAAAAAAGAGAATTTCTTTTGAATTACTTTTGCGTAACTCATTTGCATACAGAATGGTAAAATCATAAGAAAAAAAAATATCCTGCATCAATCAGAAAAACAATTGAGAGAACTTTGTTATCAAAAATAAGTGCAATGAAAACTAATTGATATTTGCATCGGGTTAAGCTACTAACACGAATTTGTAATAAAATAAAGTCACGAAAAATTATGGCTAGACCGACAGCAATGAAATTTTATAACTAAAAGTTCTAACTCCCAAAAGTTCTAACAAAGTTCTTACGACTTGGCACCCTTGTCTTCTGAGTTGGATTCAATATAAGAGCGTAATAAAACGAGCGAAATATAAAGAAAGGAAACTTTTTCAATAAAATTGTTTAGGAATTATTATAAAGTTGCTGATAAATTTAGATGCATAATTAAGAAACCTTTTTTTTATTATTTATTTTCTTATTTTTTCTATTGCTTATTTTCTTAATTTTTCTACCCCCCCCCCTAATTTTCCCGTTCTAAATATTCAAAAAAAAAATATTTATATTTCTTGTCTTATAACTATAATACCGAAATATACTCGAAAATTTGTTTTTTAAAAATTAAGTAATATTTTAAGAATAAAATTTGTTCAAATGAACATTAAATAATTTCTAAAATCACGCTGTTTTAAAAATTTTGTTAGAAATTGTACTTAAAAAATGCTTGACTAAAGAAGACTTTTTAGTTATTTCATAAACTGTTGTGTGACATTTGAACTTTTGAAAATACTTATTGTTAGTATTACAAATTTTAGGGAGAAAAAAAAAATCAAACATAATTTTTTTTTTCTGCTTTGAGAATTTTTCTTAAAATATTAGCTAAGTATTATTAATTTTTAAATATTAACTAATATATTCTGTTTTATTCCTTATTATACTAGTGTTTTTTTCGGTTTTATTCAAATAATATTTTAGGTTATCCTGATTGATGCAATTAATTCGAATTCAAAAATCCTTTCCAAATTTATGTGGAACTTAAAATAAATATTTTTTCCAATGACTTTTTCGTAATTTATTTGCATACATATACTGTGGTAAATTATAGGCAAAAAATAAAATCCAGCATCAAATATTAAAACAATTGAGAATATCTTTAAATTAAAAATTTGTTTAATTGAAAGTATTAAAAATATTTGCAATGAGTTGAATTTCAAACACGAATTTGTGATATAAAAAAATATCACGAATTACCCTTATGACTAGTACGACAACCGTGAAACTGTGTCACTAAAAGCTCTAGCATGAAATTCTTAAATAAAGTATAACTACTTGGCATCCATGTCTTCTGAGTAGGGTTTAATGTAAGAGGATAATAAAGGGCAAAAAATTAATTGCAGAGAATTTTTTTCCAAATCCAGTTCAATATAACACAACGGTTGAAGACCATTTTCTAAAAAGAGATAAAATATTAAATTTGAAAAAAAAAATTATTGCACTGTTTGTGTTGCAAATTTTAATTTATTATAAAAATATTATAAAAGAGAAGAAAATAATGTTTTTTTGAAAAACTAACGTATGATTTTGTTTATTAAAATGTATAAGCTTGCAATTGTGAAAAAAAGAAAAGGAATAGTCATAGCAAAAAAGAAAGAAAAAAATTGAAAAAGCAGTTTTTTTTAAAAATTGTAATACAAATTTTTTTTCCAGATTATTTAAACTAACAATTATTTGAAAAATGCTAATTTAAAGTTTGTTTCATGCATTCTACCTATTTATTAAAGCTTATTTATTGCACGTTATTTTAATACTCATTGTACCTTTAAAACTAAAAGATTTTAGTGGTATAAAGCTAAGCATTTTATGAATTGCAAATATAAAAGAAAATAATTACAAATAATAGAAAGTAATAAAATAATCATAAATACAATAAAATTTTTATAAATAATAAAATAAATAAAAATCGAAAGTTACAAAATTTTGTCAAATTAAATAACCCTTATTAATCATTAGTTCGTTAAATCTAAAAGCTCTCGATAGTATAATATAATTTCTAAAGTTTCATAATCTAGTGATGAAATTTCTGAATGAATCAACTACACGTATTTAAAATAACATTCAAAGTATGATTTTTAGAAAAGGTAATAAATAAAGATGGATTTGATTTGTAATCTGAGGTTACTTTTTATTTAAAGAATATTTCTTTTTTTTCGCAAACTGTTAGTAAATATAGTTATAAGTGAATCGATTCTCTTATAATAAATACAATAATGCAAACAAGTTTAAAACAAATACTACATATTAAATTCTTGAGGAAAGATCAAAGATTGAAATAAATAAATATTTATTTTAGACAACGTAATTGTCAAAATGGAAAAAGAATTCATTCCTTTTCAGAAATAACGCTGTGAACTCTGAGAAAGAGGCCACGTGGTTAGGATTTTGTTTTACTATCGGACGGGGGTATAAAATAGACTCCGGGAATAGAATAGACACCGTCCGCTTTCGAAGGCTGCGAGGTTAAGGGTCCGGATTGCGTCAAATACGTAACAATATTAAGCGGCAGATTAAGCAAAATTTTTATTCTTTTAGTTTTTAAGGACATTCCATATCTAAGAATTACACGGTTAAATAATAAATATATGTGAAAAAATATTTGATTTTTTTAAAACTTTTCGCATGCTAATTTTGAATGAAAAATTTGCATAAAACTTTTTTACATTTTGGTTGTTCTGGGAAAAGAGATCATTTCGCTATATACAAGCCTAGACAAATTTATGTTAACACAATTCTTCGATTGCAAATGTATTTCAAGATAATCTACACTACTTTTCCATCATAACTTTGTATTGGTCCTCGTTAAACTGTTCCACCGTAAAGTGCTCGATTTCGCGTGCAGGTCGTTGGGTTACCAAAGCAGGGGTGCCACCAGAGGATCAAAATTGTGATGGCATGTCTTCGGATCATCCTCAGGGATGTTTCCCAAACCGTCGCCGCCAATAGCTCATTGTGCAGCTCTAGTGCAACGTAGTAAATGAACAACAACAACAACAACACCATAACTTTGAAATTAAAATGAAATATTATTCATTACATTTACCTTTATTGGAAATAAAATATTTAAAAATACACTTAGAAATCGAAGAAAATCGTTTTTTTTTTATGTATACAATACTTGGATTGGAAATTACGAAATAAAAAAAAGGTGGCTGGTATGAAATGTTGCTAAAAGAATAGAAAGCTGTATTGTTTAATTAGTTACATGCTTTTTGAAGAAGAGCAAATTTTACTTTTTACTTGCCATTATTTAAAAGCAATTAGTTTTAAAAATTAGAATTATGGCTTTATTAGAAAAGATTTTACAAAGACATTATTATGCTTCATAAAGAAATGCAAAGTAAATACTAGACAGAAAAAGGCAATAAGCTTTCTTTTATTTTGTTGAAGTTGCAGGGAATTATAATTGAGAAAAAGTATTTTCAATTCAGTACTACTCTTTGTCTAAGAACCATACATGGGAAATTATTACAAAAATGTAAATTTTGAATGAAAACTTTTAGTAAATTTTAGATAAATTCTGAACATAAAAATTATAAATTTAAAAAGACAGAAAAAAATATATTTAAAAAAAGCAATTTCGAATATATAGAATATTTTATAAATGCTAGAATTTGAAGAAAACCAGTTCCTTAAGGTTTCTTTCCTTTCAAGTAATTTCATAAACAGAACTGCGTACATTTTTATTTGCGATATAAATTAGATCCTTAGCTTTTATTTTTTGCATTAAAATTTTTTTTTTTCAATGTGAAAAATATATTTTTTTGAGTGTAAATTTGTTATTCTACGGAAGTATGCAAAAATCCCGATTGTATAAAACTGGTTATTTATAGAAACGAGGAAAACAAATTCCTCTTTTTCTACTAATATTATGACTTACCTACACTGTGAAGCTTTCGGGAGTGTAAAAAAAACAAACAAGGAAGATTAGGAATATGTTTCGAATTTTTATATTAAGTTAACGGATCAGATTTGAGAGCAGAAACAAATAAAAATTTCATTTTATTTCTCTGTTATGGTATATGCTTCACGGGCCTATCATTAATAATTGAGATACTGTGCTCAATCTTCCAGGAATTTTAACTTTGAGTGCTACAGATTATAGCTACCAGTTGTCGTGTCAGACTGAATATGTCGCTCCAGGCCTTAGGAAATCTTCATTTAGCAGGAAAGAGGCATAGCATATTTAAATCGTTATCGTTTCTTTTTTCTTCCTTTTTTAACAATTTTAGACGAAAGTAATTTTTAAGAAAGTATGGCATAAATGAAAAAAGAAAAGCCTCCACAGAATCCTATACCTCTCAGAAATAGTATCTAATGGTCATGAACTAAAGAGACACAAAATAATAGGAGGTATCCATTTTAAAATTTTCAGAGTAAAGGTTTTGCAAGACTCGGAATCTACGTAGCGTTAAATATTTATCACATAAATTCCTATCAACTTGCCAATGTACGAAAAAAACTATATTGAGGTATTTGCATATGGAAATAAAATTCTTTTTATCGCTTCCACTTCTATGCAAAATGTTAAGTTGAAAAATACTTTTCTTAACAAAACTTTGATTGAAAAATATAAAATAATTAAGTTCCACATATTTTTCTTACTTTTTTAATTTGTATTATATAATATTCCATTCATTAAATTTTTTTTAATAAAATAGAAATACAAGTACTATCCGGAGAAAATTATACAGAAAAAAGTACATTTTCTTCTTATAAAAAGATTTGATAGGTATGCAATATAAATTAATGGACAAATTTCTAAGACGAAATTAATAAATGAGTAAATAAATAAATAATTTTGAATAAATTATTGATACAACATTTTGTTGTTGTTAATTTACGTCGCACTAGAGCTGCACAATGGGCTATTGGCGACGGTCTGGGAAACATACCTGAGGATGATCCGAAGACATGCCATCACAATTTTGATCCTCTGCGGAGGGGATGGCACCCCCGCTTCGGTAGCCCGACGACCTTTTGAACAATATTTTGCAAAAATCTGACGCAAAGTTTATTTCGGCAATTTATGAGGGATCGTATAATTGAATCAGATAATGATAAAAGTCTAAAAAAGTTTTAATATAAATATATAGAGCTTAAAAGTTTATATAAATATAAAAGTTTTTAATATTAATATAAAGAAATAGTAATAAATATACAAAAATAGAAAAAAAAAAGAGCTATGAAACAGTAACTAGATGCAGAAAAAAAGAAAAAAGTGCGATGTGAAGGTACTACGCGAAATCGTGTTTCGCGTCGCTGTTGCGTTCGGTATGAGGTCACCTTAAAAATAATCCATAAAGGGACAGTCACACTGCATGCAAAAAATATGGTGGGTCTTATTAAACTGCTTTCGATTGCCACAAACGCACGCTGCAGTCACATGCACGTGCTTTTGGCTGAAGAGAATGCTTCCTCAGCTCCAGAATAGACTCCATAAATCTAATTAACGCGCTTATAGCTTATGCAGAGTGCTTAAATTTGTAAATATTAAGTACTTTAACTTTAATTTATAGTTTGGTTTCAGTTTCGCCCTGAGTTTCGAAAGCAAAGAATTCGCGCTTCGCGTTAAACAGGTTATGTTTACAGAACAACTAGGTCTAGGTGAAACACTGGTCAATCCAGTCCAACTTGCTGTTTTGCTATCCCGAGGCGTGTGACCGCGTTCCCAGAGTATTTTGTTTGTTTATTATTTTGTAGTTAAGAATTTTAGTGATTTCTTTTTGAGAATGCCATTTCAGTGAGACATGACTTTGAATTTTTTTATAATTAATATTCGATCTATTTTATTTTGAGGCTTCTTTTAATTCTTTTAACATTCAATACAATTTTATGGAATTACGGAACAAAAAATTAGGTTAGCTGTCAATTTACTTCTCTTGTTTCTAATGATGATTTCTTAGTGACGTTTTATGAAATTTAAAAGAAAAATATTGAAAGGTTTCGATAAGAAAACGGATTGAACATGATTAATCCATGATGGTAAGAGTTATGTTTTTAATTGATTATATAATACAAAAAAATTTTTCTAGTTAATAAATTTAAATTTAGTATTTGTGTTAGATGTCATTATTTACTGAAATCTGAAGATCTCCAATATTTTAATATTAGAGATCCGATATTTATATTACGATATATTTATGAAAACATCATTAAAAATTTTATGTGGATGGCTGTGAAAAATTTTAACAAATTAAGTCATAATAATTACATAAGATTATTAAGGGAGAAAATATTCTAGTTGCTAAATTTATTGACCATTGTGAGTGGTATGTCAACGTTATTAATCAATTTATAAAAAAATTAATTTAATTCTCTTGATTTTTTTTTAAAAACTCATTGTTTTAAATTATCGATGTAAAAAACTAGTAATGCATAAATGAGATAATTTATTATGCATTTAATAAGATATTGAGTACTGAGATCTAATAATAAAATTTTTCTAAATTAATAATTTAATAATGCTGAATTAATAATATTAAATTTAAAATAATATTAAATTAATAATAAAATAAAGATTTCTGTATTGTGATCTGCTGCGAAATTATTGCCAATTCTTGGCAACTTCCGACCAGGGGTCCAGGAAAAAATAAAAATGCAACAGAAGGGGACAAATGTGAAAGGTTTAAAATCTATTTGGTGCATTGGCAACTATTAGTTGGTGTGCCTGATTGTAATACGGAATTATCCCTATTACGAATGCAACATAATGCTGATTATTAATAAGAGATAAAATATACAACCTTTCTTACAGTTATGCAAAGATAATTGAAAAATATGCTATTTATATTAACTTTTTCTGAAATGATGCTTAAAGAGTGAGCTCAATTTTGTCCACTTTGCTGCTAGTAAGTAAATTATAATTACTCAGTAGATAAGAGTTACATTTAAATATGTATAATTTATGCTGCCTAGAATTATTCTTATTAACAATTAATAAATTTAATATGTGACGAAATGACCATTTTGCGAGACTGATAACTAAAAAAATTGTTATGTTATCATTTTGCTGGTAGAAAGTGTGTGATAGCATTTTGCTTTTATTTTTTTTTTCATTATTTTTGTAGTGTTTTTATTTTGAGAATGTGTCTACAGTGAGACATGACATTGAATTTTTTTTATCATATATACTTTTTATCTATTTTTACAATTGATAGTTCTGTTTAAAAATTTTATGACAATTAGTGGGTAATTCTACTAACCAGTTATCTAATAAAGCGACAGGCACATTTCCAAGATTTATTGTGTTTATTAAATGTATTTTCAATCAACTAAAAGATTTTTTAAAACAAGTAGAATTTTTATCAGAACTTTATCAACCTGATTTTTCTTTAACTCCGTTTAAACTATTTAGGTGTTCTGGAAGACAAAATTCTTTGCATTTAGCTTTCAAAAAAATATCAATACATTATCCTAGTTACCACTGGAGAGTATGTTTAATTTATAAACCCAATCCTCATTTAGTTTATGTAATCTATTGTAGTATTAATTATTTTTGGCACATTAGCTGTGTAACTTTTAAGGCATTAATGTTTGCAAAAATAGTTATCAATAGAATAAATAAATGTATGCGTGTGCTGTATATGATTAGTAAAATGTAAAGTAGAATAAGCCAGTTACTAATGGCTTTTTTCTTTTTTAACACCAAGGCTGAATAGTTAAGTCTTTTTCAAATGTGAGCAGCTTATTTGCAATCCTACTAATTTTATTGTTGTTAAAGTGCTATGAAATTTAGATGCTAATTCCATCTTTTGTAATAGGAGTATTTGATGAGGGCCATTTTTCAAGTTTATTGAATGTTGTTCTCTGTAGTGGAGGTAAATGGCTGTTTACCATTAAATTCCTTATTACACAAAATCACTTCTACATAATTGTGCACTTCCAAATTTTGATAGTATTATATGATGAATTTCTGAACCTTTGAACATCCTTTCACCAGAGGAGAATAGAGTAAGCAAAAAAAAAAAAAAAAACATATTTGTGTGCGCAATCTGAGAAACAAGAAATGAACATCTTGTTACTTGAATTTTGTCTGATTTCTCTTTTTATTTCTCTTGAATACCAAGTGCTAACCCCAAGTTGATGATTTGTATAAAAAATCTATTACAAATTGTGATGTAGAAATTAAAAAATTGCTTTCATTTTGAGTAACAGTAATAGATGTTTAGTCTTTTACAGTATTTATTATTAAAAAATATGTATATATCTGTCATTTATTTTATTTATTTAATAAGAATAATTTCAGCATATTTATTTTATATAATTTTCAGTATTATTTATAAGTTATGTGTTTTCTTTCAGTGTAAAAATTGAAAAAAGTATGCTCCTCCAAAGCTTGAGAGTATGCTTGTTTATCTTTCTTCTTGAATGTCATGTCTTGTCCTCTTCCATTGAAAAGCATGTAAGATCTTGTTCAGAAGTTTTTCAAGGATATGATCTCCCGTGTGTTTGTTCTGAAAGTTCTATCAACTGTGATGGAGTGTCGTTTCTTGGGAATTTTCCTATGTTACCTCACCGGTTTGTATACATTTATACAATATAATATATATTTTAAATGTGTAATTAAGAATTTTTTTTTGTTGAAACTTTGGCCTACATAGACGTGAAAATCTCTTTTTTAAAGATCAAACTTGTGTTTCACATACAGCAGAGCAAATAATGCAATTATTTTAATACTATGAGAACCAATGGAGTAATATGAAAAGTGTTGGTGTAATCAGTTCTATTTCTAATCAAGTTATACTTTTGTAACATTAAGCTATCTTTATATGTTGTGACTTAGTTCGTTAAATCAATTATATTTTTTGATTTTGAAGGGAAAGGTTATCACATTTAATTTATTATCAGAAATTATTTCAATTGAAAACAAAAATGCAATAAAAGGACACGAATTTAAAGAATTTTAAGTAAAATACATCAGGTTTTCTTATATATAAAAAAACAATAAAGAGTAAAATTTTACAGAAAAAAAGTTTATTGTAAAATAAAAATTGTCTTGGAAATATAATTTTTTTATTCATTCATTCAAGAAAGAAGATTTATTTTGATAATCTTTTTATTGAAAGATAATTTACATTTAGTTAATTTTGATAATTAAAAAGTTTTTAGAAAGTAAGAAATATTGCATAACTTGACTTCAAAAATAATATTTTGATATATTTTTTGTAAAAAAAAAAAATATTTATTGAAGCTATCCGAAAATTATATAAGAATTTTTGTAGACTTTTTAAAAGGGTTTAAATCCTCCTAGTATATAGATTAATAATGAAAAGTAAGAGTATGTGGTTCTTTGTCTTGTCATGAACACTTATTCTAATGTACCATGAGTTATTGTGTTGTTATAGTTGTTAAGGTATTATTGCATGAATTGCAGGTGTTAAGAAATTGAGGATAGTCATTGAAATGAATTCTAGTAATTTTAATAAATACTAATTGCATTTTATTAATTTATATCTCTTAATGTCCTTTCATTTTCATGAGCTTGAACATAAAAAATTTTATTGTGATTTTTCTTCTTGTATTCTTTCCTATAAGTGTTATATGACTCCTTTCACCCCTTCAGATTATTTTTTTGTTATTAAAATAATGACAAATTTTTTTTTGAATATGTCTTATAAAAACTAAATCTACAAAATTAAATCTTAAATACAAAATAGTGGTAAATTCAACATAGATTGGGAAAGTCTACATAGAACAAAGATACTAAGGAAGTGATCTTTGAGTTAGTGTTTTAAATTGTTAATGACAACCAGCTGCATGTGACTTAGGTAGTAGGTGATATTGACAAACAAATGTAATTGTTTCAAATTTATTTATTTTTCATATATTTATTTTCCATTTATATTTATTTATTTTACTTTCTTTATATGTTTTTTTTTGCTTACTCATATAAATTAGTAGACTCATATACTCAGTAGATAAAAAAGAATTTAAATGTACATTATTTTGAATATTAGAGTTCTAAATTTTTTTGATAAAATTTATATTTTTTCTACTGTTAGTTTCTTTCGAAATTTTGAATTTCATTTCAAAATAATGAATGAAAATTAGAATAGAACTTTTTGTAAACAAGTTAGTACAAACTACAATTTTAAATGGCTTAAAACTATGTAATTGAGTTCTAACGCAACTTTAGAAACCTTTTTTTATTTATTTTTAAGTGAAAATAATCCATGTGTGTAATATTTGTCCTTTAAAAAAGATTTTCTTTTGTTTCATTTAATTTTCACTTAACTTTCAAATTTTAATAATCTAATCCAACTTGCAGTTTATAAATTTTTATACTGAAAACTGACAAAAGTGATATTTGTAATCACTGAATTTACAGACTCCATAATTAATACAAGTTTTATAACTGCCATGAAATGTCAGTAAAGTAATCACTCTTACCAAGCAAAGTTTCGGCACTGGAGAAATGTACACTAAAGAGAAGGACAAGCTAATGGAAAAATTTAATGCTATTTACAGTTTTCAGTAAAATAATGTAGCAGTAAAATAATTACACAATTAAAAAAATTTATTTTTATTCATAGTTATTTAAACTTATTAGAAACATGATGCTTTCATTTCTAACATTGGTCTTATAGGATTTATAATATTTTTAATTTAAGAAAATTAAAAAATAAATGCCTGTAACAAATAACATAATTTGGTATCATAACATAATCTTTATTAAATGTTTCTCCTCAATTTTAATAATTTCTGGAATCTGAGTCTTTCCAGTTTTCCAATGTTCAGCCAATTTTCAAAGACACCATTTTCTCTGTTTGTAAAATTCTATAATATCGATTTTCTTGCTTTAATAAGAAAATTTGAGGCATATCTGAAAGATAATAGATAGCACGAAAGAAGTGCTTTTAAAATTAAAGCTGAAAAACTTTTTCTGATTTTTATCCTCTCAAAAGTTCAGAAGTAGCAAAACCAAATAAGACTCATATTCTTCCAATCAAGAAATCATATTTGAACTGATTTTAATTATTCTATGAGTGAATATCTACCTGTAGGGCAATTCCATAGTGCCGGACCTAATAAGTAAACATAAATTTCTTAGAAAAACTCCTTGATAAAACTTAAGAGTTTATCATGAAATTTTTGTAACAAATAATTTGTTTTATAAAAACTAATTGTAACAAGTTCAAATTAAATTGATTAAATTGTTTATGTCAGATGCATGGGTGCAAGTCTTCCGTCCCCAGGACGGATTTCCGTCTTTCGAAAATGTCCGCGGACGGAAGTAAGACGAAAACAAGACTGACTCGAAGACGGAAATCGGAAAAAAAATATTTCTGTCCTTAAAAATATTTTTTAGGTCTACGTTATTGGTCTACTTTCTTATGTCCTGTTGTTATTTTATCAAAAGACAGATGAATGAATATTTTTTGTACAGTACTTAAACTTGATGTATTATGGTAAAGCTTTCTTAGATTATTGTGTATGTTAGGTATTTCAGTCAAAAAATTTTCAGTCTTTGCCTTTTTTCCAACTTGCACCCATGGTCAGATGTAAATCACACGAAAGCATAAAATGATTACTCATTTACAAATTCTCTTAACTCTGTGAATTTGTTTGTAATTTAAATATAAATTTGATTGAATTTTGTAGCTGACATTTGAATAAAAAAATTATATGCAGTTCTTAACTTGTAAAATATGGTTCATAATAAATTTGAAATTGTTTACTTTGATGTTGAACATAAAATTTTTGTTATTGGATGTAAATTCTTCTAGTTTGATAAAAATTTAAGTTAATGATAAAAATTATAAATACTGAAAACTGCGTTAATTTTTATCTTGATACTATAAACATTATTTTTATATTTAAATAGCTTCTTTAAATTTAAATTGACCTTTAATTCCTGTTGGAATGGGTGGTCCTATGTGTTTTATAAAATTTTCCATCTTGTAAAAGTTAGTGGAAAAATCGCTAATTTTAATTTTATCTGTGCAGCATATACTAACAACAATGTAAACAGAATTCATATTTAAGTGATAGTTTCTTAAATCTTATAATTTATTGCCTGCATAAAATTAAGTATAATTGTTTTGCACAGTTTTTACAATCTGTTGAATTCGATGTATCAAAGCAGACTATATTGGTCAATATACCTTTTATTTGTATTTAGTCACGTAGCTACGTGTATTTAGTCACGTTCCCTTAAGTAGTTAGTTCTCCCTTAATAGTATAGTTCCCCTTTTTATATATTATATATATCTTAGAGGGTGAAAAAATTGAGTTTGTCCTTAGTGCTGTTAACCCTTAACTATACCTTTGTTTGTATTAGCAAGGTTTGATACTTTACATTTGAATGCATATGACCACCTTTTAGCAAGCATTTATGCTAACCTAAGTATAAACATGTTTAAACTCAAGAACAGTTTCTGAATATGGGCCTGAGTTTCTTTTCTCACACAAATAAATAAATAAAATAAAAAAATTTTATTGATCAATTTTAAGTTCTTTTTAAGTAACTTTAAGTACAGCATAGATAAGCAGGTTTTATTAGGTTACGGAGGTGAAACATAGTATTCTAAATTAACCTAAAAGAATATTATGACTTGGAATACATCATGTTCCATATCATTTACCAATCCTTGGAGAACAATAGCATCAATATTATTCTAAACTTCAATGATTATGGTAATCAGTTCTGCCACTTACTGAAACTGTCTTTCATTAGTAAATAAAGTTCAACACATTTTCTTGGAGATTGGGATGAAAATAATGGGAAAGTGATTCCTTGACGTGCACTCCATTATCCAAATACAATTCCAATGAGGATTTTATATTGTAAATGACGGTTTTAAGGGCTGGTAAATCCAGTTTGAGTCATCGATTCTCTCTGCAAATAGTAATAAATAGGTTTCTAAAATTTCTTAGTAAATCAGTCCTAGGAAAGAGCTAAGTTTTATCTCTATAGCCAAAGCCTCCTAATGTCATATATGAGCCTCCACCTTACTGTCTTTTGGAGAAGGTTTTCTCTTATTTTCTCATGTCATGTTCATAGAATGCATAGCTGTTTAAGAAATCAAAATTAATTTCATATTTTTTTTTTGGATATGAGAATATATCAATGTATTATAATAGAAAAACATCTTATATAATTGCATATTATACATATTATATATAATATATTATAGAATGCATAATTTTATTATAAAAGTTAAAGTTGGATAACTTTTTAATTCACATTCTTAATATAATGCTCTTAAGTTAGTGTACAATAAAGAAATATAAAGTCTATTTCACATTATCCAGCTCTTTTTTTGTGTTATTATATTCAATCAAAATATTTAATTTTTTATTCAGATTTTATTTTATTATTTTTTGTCATAAAAAGAGGTAAATTTCTAGCTAAGAAATTCAAGTTCTATTTTATGTAACAGCACTTGACAAAATTTTTTATTACCTTACAGTATTTATTTTTATAAATCTAATTGAAATTAATAGGTGCAAATGTGTAGAATGTTGATTTATGTTTTTTTTTCTTGGTGTATTGTTTTTTTTCTTTAAATCAAACAAAAGTTTAACTGTGCTGCAATTGTTAGTGTTTGGCAACAGAGTCTACTATCCGGAATTTAGAGCAAAAATAAGCAAAAAGCAAGGCTTCCTAATGTCTAAATATTATTTTATGGTATATTTAGGCAATGACAGTCATTGCTTTTTTTGCCATCATAATATAAAATTTTCTAGCAAGTGCAGAAACAATTTGGAGCAGCTTAAGGAAATATATTTTTTAATCAATCGTTTGACATCACTCAATGTAAGCCGTAAATCTTTAAATGAAAACGTGGCTCTTAGAATAGGGTTGCTAAAAGTAGTAGGGTCAATCTAAAGCCAGAAAGGCGTGAATGTGTAAAAAAGGCCCAACTGGCAGTCAAAGACTGCTATTATATTTAGTATTAAATTTAAAGAATATAGCATTTGCAGACTTTTGAAGAGGACTTGTTCCTATGGTCATTTTCCCTGATTGTGTCTTTGTTCTAGTATTTTTATCCTCTTAAATGTTTGATATTTATAAAATAGGTGGATGCTTAATCCTGAATTAGTTATTACACTGATTTTCATTTATATGCATTTTTGTATTTAGATCAAATATATCTTCATTCTCCCAAAGTGGATCGGGTCTTCGAAGTCTTGAGGCTCAGCTTTTTACTGCAAGTGATATTCCTCTTCAAAGAATTGATTTTTCAAACAATCAGCTTCGGAGAATTACGGAAAGAACCTTCGATGGTGTAGAAGATACTTTGCTAGAAATTAATCTTTCTGATAATAAATTAGGTGACCAATTAAACATGCTCTTTTCAACTGGAGAGTTTCAAAGACTGTTACTTCTTAGAAAACTTGATCTATCTGGAAATGCAATCAAGGAGTTATTACCAGGTGTTTTTAATGGTCTTCAAAATTTAAAGGTCAGAATTTTAATTATAATCTGAATACCTAAGTCATTATTTTAAGTATAATTTAAAGAGTTATTATGCACATAAGTAGTTTTTTTTGTAGTTTATAATTTAAAATGATTATGAATTTCTCTCAGTATTTTTTGTTGGAACAAAATGCTTTATACTTCATTTTTGTTTCTATATTGAAGGTCTATAACCTCATATTAGGTTGTCATACTTAACTCCCAGTACTTCCTGTACAGGGAGTAATTGTGACTTTATCTGATTTAAGCTTTCTCAACCATACATGACTTAAATTTCCTGTAGCTCACTATTAGATTTGATGATAATTTTTAACAATACAAATCTAAATCGACTTTCTATCCATCACCAGATAAGTTTTGTAGGATAAATGGGATGTATGGCAGATAGTCCATATTATGTATAGTATATGGATAGTCCATGATTTTTATAAGTGATGAAAGATTTAAGGAAAATACATTTTTTTCATAAATAACATTTAAAAAAATAATTTACAATATTTTATAAAAGAATTTCAAAGTTAGGAAGCTAAACACTTAAAGTGTATGGCCATAATTTCAATACTTTTTGAAGCAAAAATAAAGTTACCACTGTTTGGAAAATGAATATTTTATGGAAAAAATGCTTATTAACTTTTAGCAAGTAGTTTATAAATGTTAAGGTAAAGTATAAAAGTATTAATTTTTTTAATTTTCAAAGGATGGGGAAAAAACTCCATATTTTTACGTTAAATAAAACTGATAAAATTTTAATCAATATTGTAATCATTCAGTTTAAGCAACTTTTTGCCAATCAATGTACAAATTGATGATTTTTAGCAAATGTCTGCTGATTTATATGATATGTATGTATTGATACTATAAAAAAATTATGTTTAAACAAAAAATTTTTGTAATTTTAAATAATATCTAGCTGAAAAATACTGAAGTTAAGATTCTGGTAAAAAATTTACTATGTGAAAAAATTTGAATTTCTCTAATAAATTAAGTTTATTAAATCCTTAGAAATTGAATAAATGTCTATATTTTTTTTGCCTTATATATAAGTTTTTATTTCGTTGATGAGTTTTCCAAGTTAGAAGTAAAAGTGTATATTTTTTAACATAAATGAATTAACTAATAAATCCTAATCTGAACAAAATATCACAAAATGTGTGAATTTTTTAAAATTATTTTTATATTTTGTATGTGCTTAATTTGTAGCGTAAAACAAATTCTCTAATTTTAATAATCTGAACTAAAGTTTTATAGCCAAACCTAAGTTTTATAACCTTAAACATATGTAAAAAATGATTAGTGCATTGTTCTGACAATAGTGGTAATTGCATAAAAGTATTGAAATCTTTTTTATAAAGTGGTGAACCAAGTGCAAATGAAATAAAATGTATTTAAATTAGAAAATGATTCTCTCACCTTATTACTGCATTTTAAGACTTACGTATTTTGAAGTAAATAAATATTTTAACTTTAATAAAAATTTTAGTTGTAGATTCACTATTCTGTTATAGTTATTAGTTAAAATAAGTTATTTTTCAATTACATTTGCGGTCTGCCCTCCATTCAAAATATTTAAAAAAAATGTATTTTGAACTGTAATATTTTATTGTCCAGTTGACAGATAACATTTTCAAGCAAATTATTCTTATTCATATGTCAAACTTGTATTACAAATTTATTTCTATGGCTGTAGAACTTGGAAAATATTGTTATAAAGCATATACTGAGATATTGGATGCAAATCTATATTGTATGCAAATTTCATATGATAAAAAAGAACTATTAAGGGATGTATTAAGTGAATTGTTATATGATAAAAACTATTAAGATTCTATTATTAATGGTATTAAGTTCAATTAATATAAATTTTGTTTTGTTTTTCCTTCTAGGAACTAAGACTGGATCGAAATTTTATAGTTATTATTCCAAGATCATCAATTCAAAATTTGCACTCATTGGAAATGCTGCATCTTCAATCCAATTTCATATTAGATATAGGTGTTCATTCATTTCCAAATCTTTCGAATTTGCATTTTCTAAATCTTAGCTCTAATGATATTGAATCAATTCAGGATGATTCCTTCAAAACTCTTTCTAATCTTCAGAATTTAATATTATCTAATAATCAAATTCAAACTATAGGTACTGGCTTCTTAAATGGACTTCATCGTCTTACTCATATTGACCTATCACAAAATTTATTAGAAAGTTTTTCATTAAATGTTGAATTCTCATCGCCTTTAAAATCCTTAATATTACATGCAAATAAAATAAGATCTTTGAGGCAAATCACTTTTGATCAATTTCCCAATTTAGAATTTTTAGATCTTCGGCGAAATCAAATTTTTGAAATACCCCCCAATACATTTTTAAATATGAAAAATTTGAAATATCTTCATTTGGATATTAATGCTGTTAGAAAAATCTCTACTGAAATGTTTATGGGATTATCAAGTCTTTCAGATCTAACCTTGAATGATAATAGAATTTTAGCCTTTCCTTCAGAACCATTGAATACATTCTCAAACCTTAAAAAATTAAATTTAGATTACAATAGAATTGCTGCAATCTCAAGAGAAATTTTATCACCCGTGAAACACAATAAAGAACTTTCGTTAGCTTTTAATTTAATCAGTGAAATCCCTGATGATACTTTTATGGAATTTAAGAACTTGGAGCTTCTTAATTTGCATGGCAATAAGATAAGTAATTTTTCTGGAAAAAAAGCAGAAGGCCTTGAAAATTCTCTGTTGTATTTAGATATCAGTGATAATGAAATAACAGATCTTTCCCAATTGAACTTTAAAAATTTGTTAATACTTTCAGTTGCTAAAAATAAAATTTCACAAATAAATGCTGACACATTAAAGCCTTTAACAAAAATAATGTATTTGAATATGAGTTACAATATGATTTCTGATTTTTCCCCTGTTTTATTTCATGGTCTTATGAGTATGCAACATTTAGATTTGCAGTATAATCTTTTATCTAGTATCCCTCATAACAGTTTTAAAAACTTGTTACTCTTAGAGATAAATTTAAAAAATAATTTAATTGAAATGCTTAATGAATCTAGTTTTGAAAATTTGATGCAAATAAAGTATATTGATTTGAGTTATAATAGAATTGCAAATATTCAAGTAAATGCATTTAACAAAGTGCCAAATATTGAAAAGCTCAATTTAATGCATAACAAACTATCTGTTTTCAGAGGAGATGAAATTTCGGATGAAACCAAGATCCACACTTTAATATTAAGTTATAATAAATTAACTTATATTTATCCTAAATCATTTTTTTTATACCCTGAACTCGAATATTTGGATCTGAGTTATAATGAGCTTACTATTTTCCTAAAAGAAACTATTAGTTCTCTTAAATTTTTAACCAGGATTAATTTAGCTGGAAATAAACTACATTCTATTAGTGACTTTTCGAACATGCTGCATTTAAAACAACTTGATTTAGAAAATAATCTCATTAAATCAATTAATAACTTTCAAAATTCATCAAATTTAAGATGGATTTCTTTGCAAAACAACAAACTATCCTCTTTAGAAGAAAATACTTTTATTACCTTGAATAGGTTAAATCTTGATATAAGTTATAATAACCTGTCCAGCTTACCAAATAACATATTTTCACGCTCCAAAGGGTTAAAACTTGAGGAAATTAACTTATCAGGAAATAATTTTCAAAGTTTTCCTAATGAGGCGCTTAAAAGACAGTATTCCTTTTTAGAAAAAGTTAATATTTCATTTAATAAAATCAGTAACCTGCCATCAAATGCTGATATTTTAGTAAATGTCAAAGAATTAGATTTATCTTACAATCCTTTATCACCAGAGGCTCATCATGTTTTATTTGAAGAGCCAAAAAGTGTTAGCAAGTTGTATGTACGTGGAGTTGGTATTTCTAACTTACCTACTATTGAATGCCCTTTTTTAAGACTCTTAGATTTAAAAGAAAACAAAATTACTGATTTACATACCAATACTTTTGATCGAACAAGCATGCTCTCTGACTTGGATTTATCCTATAATATGATTTCAAATATAGCTACCGTTTTAGCTCCTGTCCGAGCAAAGCTAACTTATCTTCAGAAATTAGATTTATCTGGAAATCCTATACGTATTATTTCCAAAAATGGATTTTCACGTATGATGTATTTAAGACACTTACGTGTTTGTAATTTAAAAGAACTTTTGGATTTTAATTGTGAAAGTTTCCAACATTTAACTAGACTTCGAAAACTTCAAATGCACAATTTTCCACTTTTACAAAATATTCATACTATTCAGTGTCTGCGAAATTTAACTGGATTAGAGCTTCTTGAAATTGAAATTAAAGATTCATACTTAAAAAATCAATTACAAGGAATCTTCTCTCCAAAGTTGGAAACTTTGTCAGTTAGTGGAGAGCGATTACGTTCAATATCATCAAGTGCTTTTGCTGGGATGTTAAGTCCCGCAATTGATATAGAACTTACTCAGACATCTGTTGATACTTTCAATGATAAAATTTTCATTCCATTGCCACTATCATCTAAGGTAAAATTCAGTATACCAAACAATAAAATTCAACGATTAAATTCTGATATGTTATCAATACTTGATAACAAACAAGTCAACCTCCAACTACATGGTGTTGAACTTAATCCTCTGAAATGTGATTGTAATATGCAGATTTTATGGCAGTGGCTTCAAGATAAAAGCCAAATTAGTTTTAATTTGAATCAAGGGTACATGGCTTTAAAAGATTTGAAGTGTTTTGAACCACAGCATTTGAAAAATAAATTTATTAGAAGTCTTAAATTAACTGATTTAACCTGTGATAATACGCCAAAAAGTACGGATATATTTTTTGATACTACTTCTGAGCTAAATACCATTTCTGTTCCAATGATAATAGAAGATCAAGAACACCCATTGGTAATATTTGAACCACCTATTACTAAAAAACCTTTTTCTTATGTTCCTGCCTCAGGGACAAGAAGTACTCTTACTAAAGTAGATACTATGATTATAGGAATTGTAGCAGGAGTTGTTGCTTTTGTATGTATTCTTATAATAATTATTTGTATAATACGGCTTCGCCGAGCTCACCCTCTCTATACTGCTGGTCCGCTGGCTGGGCCATTAGCTTTTCGTGCTCAAGGGAAATGTACATGTTTGAAACCACCACCTAATAACTGTACTTGTTATCCAATGCATCCTCATAATAATGGAGGAAGGCCTTCATTATTACCAAATTATCCGCATAAATTGCCTCCTGGCTTTTTAGCTGCTACTGGGCAATCAGGACGTTTAAGAAATACTCCATATTATGTAACATATCCAGACAGTGATAATGAAAATAAATAACAGCAAATATACAAATAAATATACAAAAATCTGCATTTAATGCTTAGATTTGTCCTACTATTGAAAGCTGCACCACTTAATGTTTTTTTAAGTTCACTAGTTTTTTTTCTTCTTTTTACTCTGATTTTAATCATATAAATTTACTATAGTGTTTCAATCTCTTTTTAACAATTTGTAAACAAATTCTAATTTATTTAAACTAGCTTATAAAACATTTTTATGTATACTGACTTTGAATTTTTCAAGTAATATAAAAATAAGTGATAAAAAAAATTATAAATGACCGGTATTGTTGCCTTTAATGTATCTTGTGTTTGTCATCAACATGCATAATCTGTATAAAAGAATATTATTTAAATGAAATTTTCCTTGAGTGTATATATGGAAATTGAATTTCTTATGTATGTATCGTATGGTTTGTATCAATTTTAAAATATTGATAAGTTTTAATTCTTTTGATAGCTTCTGGTTTGATTTGTGTAATTTTTTTTTTAATTTTATAACTTTTAGTAAGTATTTTTCAAAGTTTTAATATTTGCAGTTATTTAAATAAAACATACTGGAAAATTTATTATTTGACTGCATTAAACAATGAAGAAGAATATATATTTAGGATCATAAAAGTTGTACACTCTTGTGATAATAATAATGAAAACTCAGGTAAAGGAGGCATCTTAAGACTCGCACAGGGAGAAAAACTCTTGGAGAAATTTTTCTTCTTCTTTAAAATGAAAAACTATGTGTGTAATAGTTTTACTTAGAAAACATATCCTGAAAATTTCAACAAAATAAAAAATTTAAAATATCCAACCTAGCCAACTTGCTCAGTTTTTAAAAAATCTTGCTCTTAATCTCGATTTTTTTGAAAAATTATTGTTTGAAATTTTTTTTCAAAGTTAATTGAAGGTTAGTTAAGAAACAGCTTTAAACTTTTTTTATGTCTAGTTATGTAGTTTTTTTCCCTATACATTTTTTGTTGCATGGCGGAAGGTTATTGTTGACCATTCAAAGGCCAGATTTTACCCTTAGGCCACTGGTGTGCAATCTCTGTGTCATAATCTGTTTATACTTTTCTCGTTTTAGCACTAAAAGTAGGCCTGCTTCAAGTTTTTTTCATGGGATTTGGTTCATAGTTTATCTATAATCTATTTTCTGATCATTTGTGAATTTATTTTTATTAATTCAAACATTTTTATTACCATGTTAATTGTTTTTATTAATTCATTCCTTAATATCTGTTAATTACCTAATATTAATTTTAATTACTTAACATCTGTGCATTACTTAATAGCTTCTTTGTTGGTGTGTATATATATATACTTACAAACAAGTGTATTTTAGTTTATAGAGTTCACCTTCTATATTTGTTATTTTTAAAAATTAATTTATTTCATTTTCTATTAACTGCATTCAATAATTTTTTTTTATTTTAAACATTCTGTAAAAACACATTCTGTAGTCAAAATATTCATGTTCTTTTAAAAATAATTTTAGTTCATTACTCTATTTTGTCATTTAACTTCACATGATTCTCATCACTTTTCTAAAAGTTTTTTTCACTTTATATTTTGTATATTTACTCAAATGATCAAAATTTTTTTTTATGTTTTTGTATATTTTCTGACTGTGTGTTAAAACATGTTACTTTTGAGCCATTTATTATCACCTTTTTATTTATCACTTGTATATAGAAATTTCTACTAAAAATTGTGACTATCAAGATAATTATAATAATGGTTTTACTATCATTTGTGTAATTAAATATCACTTGCAATAATTTACATATAATTGCTTGTTTATAAAATTGTTGATTTGTACCAATATTTACAAATAAACTCTCTATTTCTGTTAAACACATGTTATAGTTTCTATGCTTATAAAGAGAACATTACACGAGTGGGAAAGGAATACACCAGAAAATTTTGAAAATACGTTTCGGATTAAGAATCTTATTGTTTTAACTCTTACTGTTTAACCTCATCCATTCTAAATATAAAAAAGATATTTTTTTAAAAAATTAGAGCTTATTTTTTCTTGTTAACCTTATTCTAGGGGATCCTCCTCTCAAAATAAACAATTTAGATCAAGATTTATTGCATATTTCATTTTTTTTCCACATTTACTGACGGCAATGCAGTCTGTGGTATCCCAGTCGTTAGAGAATCAGACTTAGGTCTGGAGTCTCTAAAACCCACAGAGTATATGCGATATGCGTGTTCGTAAAATCCGTGGAATTGAAAGTCTTGTGGTCGGTCGCTGAGCAGTACCATGGATGCAGGATCTGGAGAAAGTTTCCTTCCCCTTCAGATCTCTGTCGAAATTGAGGAATAGGCCTCACGAATGAGATCCCCTCTGCAAATGATCAGAATTGCTATAACATGTCTCCGGATCGTCCTCAGTGATGTTCCTGACCTTTGCCAATGGCCCATTATGCAGATCTAGTGCGACGTAAATAAAGAACCTACTCACTCCAGTGCATGTTTTTATTTTTTTTAATTATTATTATTAACCTGCATACATTTATGTTTTACTATATGCCTGGTTAACATACAGGTGGAACGACACGTTTACTTGTTTATTCAGGATTCAAAATGAAAGCAAAATAACCAACGACCAAAAAGTGTTCCGGATTTTTTCATACTATATGAGACCTCTCTTGTCATAAGTAGTGAGAAAATAATTACGTGAATAAAGAAATCAAGTTTTTGACTTGATTTTTACATGGATCTAAAAATATATGTTAAAGATGGCTGTTGTAGGGCAGATTGTGCTCCGGAAAGAATCCGGATTTCCGTAATTTTTGCTAACAGTGATCCGGAAGTTTCCGGATATCGAAGGTCCAGACGTTTCAAAAACTCATTGATCACAGAAGTTTCCGGAAATCAAATTTTCAAAGGTGGAACTTAAAAACACAGTTTATTTTATTTGTTTGTAAGGGAGAGCCAGAGAGATACTTTATAAACTTATATTCATGATTAATATTCATTTTTTATATCAGTAAATAGACACATTTGTAAATTTTAATTACTTCTCCAGGTCATCATAGGTATGTGTAAATGCTATAGATAAGGTATGTGTAAAATTTTAAATATATTTTAAGTAAACTAAGAAATATTGAGAAAAAGGAAAAAAACCTTTTTTAAATTTTTAAAATTTAAATTGTTTATTTTGTTTTTTTTTTTTAACTCAAGAAATTTTCCGGAATTATGACTTGGTCTCACAATCACCCATGCTGTTGCAAAATACTTTTTATCTGTGCAAAAAAATATGTGGATAAAAGTTCATAGTGCTACTGCTAAATGTGAAAATTCTAGCTAATCATGATTGTATAAAGTTTCCACCTTATCAGTGAAATTTAATTTAGCGTTCACTATAATATTGAGCAAGTTCTGGGTTGAATGGATGGTTGACCGTATAAAGCTAAGCACAGGTGGCGTAAGACTTCCGGGTTACAGCTTCCGATTGATTTTTACACATTATCTTGGAAAAGCGCTCCACACTTGTAGTGTTCACAATAAAACGCGTTCTTTCAATTTAACTTTTAATAAAACAAATAAATATGTTTAGAAGATCTCGCAAGCACGCTATCATGCAACCCAAAAAATAACAACCGGAGATATTTTATTCAGTTGTAGCCAAATAAGGCATGACACTCGTATCGTGGCAAACCTACACTTTATTAATGTATTTATATTAATTTTCTTAATTTTGTTTTCGACACACGACCTGTTAGAATTTAAAATTACAGAAAACGTTTATAAATGGTAAAATTTCGCGTAAATTTGATAAAAATCACAATAATAAAACTTCCTAGAATATCAAACCTGTTTGCACATCTCCTCCTAAGCATAACATAAGTGGAAAGATACTTTTGGAAATTTTCTAAATTTTTTCCAGTTTTAGGAAGTTATTGTTCGCATTCCTTCAATCATTCAAAGACGACTTAAGTAAATTAACGACACTAATAACATTATGCATTTAAACAGCCCGTTCTAAAGATTAGATACACGCATTGGTGTCAACCATTTTTCTCAAAAGAACCTAGAAACATAGCTCCTACGGGTTAAAAGCCTTCTCTATGTCAATAGAGGTAAAACAGAGAAGCATTCGTTACATCGCTCCATTAGTTTTCTGATTGTTTATTATGAACGTATTTCTGGAATTTTTCTAGACTTAGTCGGGTCTAAAACTTGGTCTCTTAGTCAATATTTTTGTGTCCTTTGGGTTTATAGTTTTTAATGCTGTCAATTCCCTATATATCGAATATTACGGTAGCTCAGTTATTTTATCAACACTATAACTGGAATATTACTGTAACTCAATTTTTTAAGAAGACACGACTAGAGATGCAAAATACCCATAATTATTAAAGAATGCAGACCCCTCAAAGCGTAATGTATGGGATATTTAAAGGTTATAGTTCATCTATATTATATTTCATTTATTATAGCATTTCATTTATTATAGCATTATTTGTTTTATGTGGAGCTGTTCCTTATTTCTCTAAGTTTTTCTAGCAACTTAAACTAGCATCGTTATCCTAATGTAGCTCACAAGTGCTATGTGAATGTGTTTCCTTTTAATATATTGTGTATAATATGTTCCGGGCAAAACACAGGGAATTTTTTTTTCCAGATATGAGTGGTAACTCTGGTAATAAAAACAAGGAATTTTTGAAATTCCTTTTCCAAAAAACCGGTTTATAGATAGGAACGAACTGTTTTTTTCTCCACCTTTAGCTACTTTGGTCCTTCATTACTTTCTTCAACACATTCTTTTACAGATAATACGATCTTTTGCAGAGAAAAAAAAAGCTGAATAATCTTTAATCATTTCGCAAAAAAGTGTCAGTACACTAAGCTAATTTGAAATTCTTACGAGACAAATCAATCAACCTAATCTGAATTATGATTCTAATTACCTTCATCATAGTAAAAACAAAAGTAAATGAAAATAAAAAGCGCACTTGCTTTAACAGAATTTCGTAGAAAAAAACAACATATTTTTTTGCTAAAAAAGTATTAGCACACTTCGCGAAACGAATAAAAACACTTTGCAAATGGGTGATTTGCTTTTTAAAATCTTATATTCAGTCCATTGGTCTAAATCTCTGTCTCTAATCTTCGTGGCATGGATTCTACGAACTCTTTGGAGATATCTGGCGAAATATTATTCCAGGAATGAATTAATGCAGATTCTAAAGAATTTCTACTCGTATTATGGCTAATTCTTACTTCTTGCTCTAAATGGTGCCGAAGATGTTCAATCTTATTCAGATCAGGAGATTGTCGGGGAGTGCGTCAAAATTTTTTGTCGAAATATTTCAAACTTACTCGCTCATTAGAAAAAATAACTTGTTTCTAGAACACTATTGTTTTTGTGTGTGGATAGGTTAAAGCAAACTCAAGTTTCTTTTTCCCATTAAAATCTCTAATTAATGTTTTTCCCCCCATGGTTTTCTACCCCGAACACCACCCATAAGGAAAACATTTCTTATAATTTGTGGTATCACTGACTTGCCAGACGCTCACGTGAAGTCTTTGGCTAAAGTTTGAGCACTGAGAAGTTGAATTTTTTAGGGCCATCTTGCCTCCTTTCCCTCTCATAAATTTTTACTCAGCGACCAGGTCGGGGTATATTTTTCGTGGATTCTGTTACTTTCACTTTTTTAATAAATAGAACGAACTGTTGAAAATCTCAATTTTAACTGCTTTCTAATATCTAGATAACTTTTTCCTACTTCACGAAGACATATCTTTCCTCGAATAGAGCCTGGAATTTCACATTTTTTAGAACTCCTACTTAATGAATACAGAAATTCAAAATGACAATGGAAGTGATTTAATATTCTAGTCCAAGAACAAGTGTTGAATCGGTTTCAGTAAGTGAATTAAAGGTTTTATTCTTCTTTTATCTAGTGGTTCTAATGAAAATTCGAGTGTACCAATACTTTTTTTACCGACTATATATTTATGCATAGACACGCTCATTATGTGTGTGTATATATATATGTTGTTGTAGTTAATTTACGTCGCACTTGGCTCGACTTCGCGAGCAGGTCGTCGGGCTACCGAAGCGGGGGTGCCATCCCTTCCGCAGAGGATCAAAATTGTGATGGCATGTCTTCGGATCATCCTCCGGGATGTTTCCCAGACCGTCGCCAATAGCCCATTGTGCAGCTCTAGTGCGACGTAAATTAAC